TACACGAGCGGATGAATTGACGCATGAGGCCAGATATGGCCGCACATTCTACAGAACTCATCGTTATCTATATCCATTCGAAACTTATCTCGTACCGTTCGCTATCAGGGGAGGCTTTGATGGCGGGGTTGACCAGCAAGGATCAGGATGTGGTTTCTGGCTTCAGATCGGCTTAATCAATACTCAGTGCAATCCCAGTGAGATAGGCATCGCTTCCGCGAGAACCGTGGGCCCCTTCCCTGCTGGGCATGAGTTTGCTGTTTCTAGTGCCGTGCCCCTCGTTTGGAGGGATGTGGCCGAGGCCGCGTGGCTCCTCGAAGGAGCTACAGTCACAGAATGTGAATTGTCGGCAGCCGAAGCGCTGCTTAGCGCTGCCCGTGTGCTTCTGCGGGACCGGTCCTCGCCCAGCTGCACCCAGCTGGGAACGCGAGTCCAAACAAACAAACCAGGTTGATGGTTTACTGTTGGTTTCCAGCTATTTTCTCGAAATTTGAACATGCATTAGAGCTCTAGTTTTTGTCCCCCATCTTCGATTTTAGTCCCGCTCGTCATCTCAATCTCAGGTCGATTTGTCAAATCTCACGGTCAAAAAGCACTCAGACGGGATCGGCTGTTTTGTGTCATCTTGGCAGATGCTGTCGGTTTGCTCGATTGAACTCGAGCTGTAGAGCAGCTACAGAGCTGACAGGCACGTCTAATCCATATAGAATCATCAGACACGCAAGTCTCAAGTATCTAGATGTCCGAACCTGGTCTGTTACCAGAGCAATGACCAACAAACTATTCGTACTCAGCTATTTGTTTCAATCGATCATGGAGATTTTCTCTATGCAGCACGAGGAGCAGATAAGCTCCTAAGCTGTCTGGCACAGCAAGCAGAAGCTGAACATCAAACACGCTATTTACAATAATCTAGATGCCTGAACTCGGTCTGTTACCAGTTCTGGAACCGAACAAATATTCGGACGCTGCAAATTTTTAAGAGATGATTGTGACTTGATGATCTTAAACCGAGCTGCAGATGAGCCGCAGAGCTGTTTGGCACATCGCTCGAAAGGGAATCTAGAGGAGCGCTACTCTGAGTATCTAGATGCCCGAACTCGGTCTGCTACACGAGCTGCAACGACACAACTATTTGTACGGTGCTAATTTTCTAGGGATGATGATAGTTTTTCCTACTTCGAGCTGTAGGCTAGCTACGGACCTGAAGAGCACTTGTCGGAGAAAAGGTAACCAGGTACATTCGCCTACGGTATCGAGACGTCTCAATTCGGACTGTAACGATAGGTACGACTGGAAACCTTTTTTGCGCCGTCAATATTTTACCAGAGATGATGTGCGTTTTCTGAAGTGAATTCGAGATCTAGGCCTGCTCTGGAACTGATATGCACGCCAATCGACAGGGACTGCTGCGAAGCATCAGTCTACAGTCTAGACGCCTGAGATCGGTCTGCTATGAAAGCTGCAAGCAAATACTTACTTGCATTCTTTAAATAGTGTTTGAGACGGCGTTGGATTCCTGTAATTAATTTATAGGCAAGCTGGGAAGCTAGGAAACACACCGCCCAACAGGAAGTCATCAGACAGTCGCCTACAGTATCGAGACGTCTGAGATTGGTCTGCTACCAAAGCTCCAGCTGAGCACATACTATACGTTTTCTGTACTCAATTCGTGCAGCCTGCTCCTTCTCCTCCTCCTCCTTTCTTTCTTCCTTCCCCTCCTCGTTCTCCTCCTCCTACCCCTCCTCGTTCTTCTCCTCCTCCTCCTCGTTCGCCTCTCCTTCTCCGCCTCCTCTTTCTCCGTCTCCTCCTCTCCTCCTGCTCTTCCTCTTCCACCAGTGCCACTGCCCGCTCTTCTCGCCAGGGCGGCTCGGGCCGCTCGCCCGCCTCTCCGTCGCGCTTGCCCACCCTGCTGGGATCACCTCGCCCTTTGCCCTTGGCAGCCGCGGGGCGCTGGTTGGGCGCGGCCTGAGGCGCTCTGCGGGCCTCGCTGGGTGGGCCCTCCACCGCCGTGGACAGAGCTGCCCTGGTTGCCACAGCGCTGGCGCCCGCGCCTTGCGCTGCCTTGTGCAGGAGCCCGGGCGCCGGCAGGCGCGGACCGTCGAAGCGCCGCGCGCAACAGAGTTCGTCGCCATGCCAGCTGCAGGTTGAAACGTGCGCAGCATCAAGTTCAGCGTGCGTGGATGATCCTGGCGGAGGACCCGGCCACATGCAGCTATGAGTACCGCGTTGTGGGTACCGCTCTCGGTGGAACCCTCCATGGGGCCACGATCCTCGTGAGGGGTGTGCCGAAATGGGGGGGGGACGCACGCAAACTCTGCCGCTGGGGCCTTCGGCGGAGCTCCCTACGGGGCCGCGACCTTTGTGAGGGGTGTGCCGGAATGGACGTGGGAACGCATGCAAACCCTGACGCTGGGGCCTTCAGTGGAGTTATCTATGGGGCCACGATCCTCGGGAGGCTTGTGCCGAAGTGGGCCGGGGGGGGCGCATGCAAACCCTGCCGCTCGGGCCTTCGGTGGAGTGCCCTATCGGGCCGCGACGCCCGAGAGGGGTGTGCCGAAATGGGCGGGGGGACGCATGCAAACTAGCTACCTATGGGGCCACGATCCTCGGAGGGGTGTGCCGACATGTGCGGGGTGACGCATGCAAACCCTGCCGCTGGGGCCTTCGGTGGAGCTCCCCATGGGGCCACGGTCCTCGTGACGGGTGTGCCGAGCTGGGCGGGGGGACGCATGCGTGCCCTGCCGCAGGGGCCTTCTGTGGAGCTCCCTATAAGGCCGCGGCCCTCGTGAGGGGTGTGCCGAAACGGGCGAGGGGACGCATGCAAACCCTGCCGCTGGGGCCTAAGTGGAGCCACCAATGGGGCCACGATCCTCGTGAGGGGTGTGCCGAAATTGGCGGGGGGACGCACGCAAACCCTGCCGCTGGGGCCTTCGGTGGAGCTACCTATGGGGTGTGCCGAACTGGGCGGGGGGACGCATGCAAACCCTGCCGCTGGGGCCTTCGGTGGAGCTCCCAATGGGGCCACGATCCTCGTGAGGGGTGTGCCGAACTGGGCGGGGGGACGCATGCAAACCTTGCCGCTGGGGCCTTCGGTGGAGCTGCCTATGGGGCCGCGACCCTCGTGAGGGGTGTGCCCAAATGGGGGGGGCGCATGGGGAACCTTGCCGCTGAGGCCTTCGGTGGAGCTCCCTCTGGCGGACATGGTGGACATGCGGGGGCATGGTGGACATGCGGCGAGCAGAAGCGGGAATGGGAGGAGGGAGGAGGGGGGGGATGATCGGGGCAGCGGGAGGAGGTGAGACGCGGGGCGCTGTCTCTTAGCATCGAGGAGTCAACAACAGGATGGTTGGGAAAAAAAAACGGTGCCAAACCAGCTCGAGCCCGAAACGCGTCCAGGCTCGGTGTGAGCTCTCGGGTTAGCAGGGGGCGTGACGCGCACTGAGCTTCGCTCTTGGCGGGCTCTTCGCCTCGCTGGCGGTTTCGAGCGGCCACTCTCTCCGAGCGCTCGGCGCATCTGTAGCGCTGTGGGCTCGTTCGGTCTCCGTGCGCGAGGAAATGCCGTTTTCCGCATTGCCCAGTGGGGCCACGTAGCGCTTGCGAAGGCCTGCCCGTCTTATCGCCCAAAAAGGAGCGCTGCCTGATGGAAAGCACGGGAAAGATTTCAACTTCGCCGGTCGCCGGATATCTTCGCCAAACCCTGCGGGTGCGACTCGAGCAGCGCGAAGGCTTCAAAGCCAGCGTTGCTCACAGCGATATGCTTGTCCAGTTTGCAGCAAGGCATTCTGGCCAGTGTTGTTCGCAGCTTTATGTGTCACATGCCGCGAGACAGGGGGGAGCGAGGCTTGTGCCCTCATGAGGGAGCGGAAACCGTAGTCTGCTTTTTCTATGCCTCCTACGAGTGCCTCGCAAAATCTACGGCGGACGTTCATTTGAGCCATCCAATTCGTTACTTTCGGTGACCCGAGGCGATGAACTGTTACTGCAGATGCAATCGCCAGTCGGATAGGTCCCCGCGCTATCCATCAGATTTGCGCAGTCTGTCGGAAGCTGTTCTGTTGCACCCTGGAGGCGATTGTAACCCCCTCACCATCTACTTCCACGTCCTCACCCTCCCTCCCTTTTCGCCGTCTCCTCCTCCCCACGCCGTCTCCCCCTCCCCCCACCCCGGCATTGCCTTTTCCCCTGTCGTCGCCGACTCTTTCTTGTTCTCCGTGATGGATTGTCGCATGTTGCGTCTGATTTTGAAATCTTCCGACTCCTCCAACTTCGATCCTACACTCCAGGCGATGCTTAAGAAAACCAAAGTTTTCGGCCAGAGTCTCGATTATTCTTAATGTTTCAATGTAAATCCCAACATTTGAATAGACATTCTGGGTTTGATTTCAAATTCTGAGACTATGAATTTCTTAACCCATGATTTCTAAAGCATTTCGCAGGGTGTAGTGGAGTGGGTTCGAGTCCAATTGCATCGGCGTTCGGCGGCGTCGCCTCACCACAGTCTGAGGTGGAGCTGTGAGGCACCGGGTGGCGCTGGGAGGCGTCGTGTTACTGACATCAGGCGTACACCCCAGGCGATGCTTAAGAAAACCCAAGTTTTCGGCGAGAGTCTCGATTATTCTTAACTTTTCAACGTAAATCCCAAGATTTTGATAGAAGTTCTGGGGTATTATTCAAATTCTGAGACTCTGAGTTTCTTAACCCATGATTTCTTCAGTATCTCGCAGGGTGTAATGCAGATATCCTTAAGATGATGTTGGAACATGCCTGACCTCTGCAGTCTTGGCAAGCAGACTTGGATCTATAACTTGTGTGTCGTCCACGACAATCAGCATGCTCGCCTGCGACGCTCGAGCTCATATGACGTGTGAACACCGTGGAGCAGGTTCGGCACGAGATTTTTTCTTGCAGTCCACTGCATTGGTCGAGAAGTGCACCGTGTGTATAGCACTTTTGTATCCGTGCAGCTGCAGCTCTGGTTGCTCTTTGCAATTTCGGAGGCGTTTGAGGCCGGTTTTTTTGTGGAGGGCACCCACGGCCTGCGCTCTGCCCGTGGCACCTGCTCTCCGGGTGTTGGCCTCCTTGACGATTTGACGACAGTTTCGCATTCTTGTTATCTGCCGCATGCTTGTGCAATGCTCATTCTCGGTTGTTGGCCCGTCGGCTTGAACTGGGTGTGCGAACGTGCCGTGCATGTAATCGGACTGGTCAGAGCATTGGGAATAGGGAGCGCCAGTGGATCAGAGCATACATTGGCTCGAATGTGGACATGCCTCGGCAGGAAGGGCACATACTGTATTGCGTTCGAGTTGATGTCGGGCCGTCACTGTTTACCTGTTTTTTTTCGTAGGCGGGTCGGTGTTGATCCGTTTGCATTAAGTTGCAAAGCAATCGGTTCTCGTGGAGTTGAGCGTCTGTGTGAAATGACCCCAAATTGCAAAGGGTGTGCCAGTATGCTATGACTGTCTGGCGTCGACGGCTATGTGGGCGGTTCGCGGCTGGGTCTAGGGTGCTTGAGATGGCCGTGAGCAGACGTTCCATTTGAAGTGTGATGTAAGAAAAGGTGCCCGTGTGCTCGAAATTTGAATGTATGCAAACTGGTGGGTGGAGTGGGTTTATCGACCATCGGCTGCGCTACTCGTTCATGTGTGCCCTTCCTGGTGGGTCTCTTATCCCCCTCGTTCTCTTGTGCACCTCGGCTCTCGCTGGTCGCTGCCCCCTTCCTCTTGCGCTCGGTCTGAAGGACCAGTTCTGGCAAATAGGACAAACGTGATCAGGAGCGCGATAACTTCACGGGGACGAGGAATCATTTTTTTTTGAAGGCCCCCGCCAGGGGAAAGAGCGCATGCGGCAACGCAAGTGCGAAGAGTTTAGCAGCAACAAGCAAGTCACTTCTCGTAACATATCGTATCGGTTAGTCCTGCCACAGGTTTCAGATATCCTTCTGGCTGGCAGTGGCCTCCCTTGATGTCTCTCGCGAGTCCTACTTCACGATGCTTTGACTTCTAGATTCGGGTTTCTCCTGTTTGGTGTGGCGTCGTTCGTCTCTCCGCAGGAGGGAGACGGCACACGTGCATCGAGTCTGCCCCCGGGAGGACATGGCAAACTATGGGGAGTGGAGGGGAAGACGAAACTCAAGCGGAAAACATGGCAAGATGTGGGGGACCCTTGCACCTTGTTTGACTGACCTGCGTGTCCCTGGGCCCCCCTTCGCCTCGGTGCCCTCGGGCAGCTGCCCCCTCGGCAGCACAGGGCAGAGGCCTTCGCGGCCGGCCCCGCCGCTCCTGCACCGGGAGCAGCTTTTGGGCGCAGGAGGCTCGGGAGGGAAGACCGCAGGCAGACACCACGGGTGGTCGCGATCACCAGTAGCATGTGGGGAGGTATGGGGAGTGGAGGGGAAGAGGGTACTCCAGATCGTATCGATAACTCAGCGATTCCTGGGATTTCTGTTTACTTATTGGTGTGTCCCTGGGCCCCTTCAGAGGCGGAGGGGTGATGGAAGCACGGGGCAGAGGCGGCTTTGACGCGAGGACGAACATCGAATGGTCTTCGGCCCATCCCCCGCGGCTTTGCCTGGGGGCACTTTGTTTGAGGTCCTGGGGGGGTTTCTTTGGGGGCCTCTTTGGAGGTTTCTTGGGAGCCCCTTGTGGCCTGTGTGGAACACTTGGGGGGTCTGGGGAGCCTGCTGGAGGGGTTGGCTTCCAGCGGTGCGACGGCGACGCGCCTCTCTTTTTTTGCCCCTCTCGTGGCCGCCGCGGGGCCCTGCTGGGCCCCCTTCGCGATGACGGAGGGTGCGGCGCCCACGGGGACCTCCCCGCCCCCCCCCCCCCCCCAGGGACCCCCCCCCCCAGCGGGCAAGCGATCGGATACATAGAGAAGGGGCTTCCCCCGAACCTGACTGCGGCCCGGGTCGGTTCGCCTCGACCCGGCGAGCTTTGGAGAGCTCTGGGTGGCCGCAGGGAGAGGGCGGGGGGTGGGGGGAGAGAGAGCCGAGAACGGAGGAGGCGTCTCCAGAGGCCGCCCAGGGTCGCGTCATTTGACTCTTGTGCGGTCGGAGAGATGCTCCCCCGAACAGCACAATTTCACGACCAGTGCATTTGGGCATAATCTATTACCATCGTGCGAAGTTTCACTGCCAAGTGTCTGTTGAGTCGAATCCGTCAGTGGTCTATGAACAACTATACGAATTTAAGCAGGAGCAGGGGGAGTGATAACATGATAAGTTGTAGGAGTAGGTTGTGTACTAATGTCGTAGATGGGTACAGTCAAGAGCAATAGTAAAAGCAGCAGAAGTTGCAGTCGTGGTTTTAGTTTTATAGAATGAGGAGAAGGATCAAGTGGATCAGATCATGAGGTGGAGGAGGAGGAGGGGGCGGAAGTATGAGGACAACGATAGCGGCAACTTCAGGGTAATCATATGATGAATAACGCGGCCGGAAGATTGCGAGGGTGAGATAACACGGATGGGGAGGGGCGTGGCAAGGGCGGACAATTCATCATGAGGGATTGGAGGGATGAAACGGAGGACGAGGAAGACGACCATACGTTCGAGGAAGTTATTGTTGAGGATGATGCTGATAATGGTGATGATGACGATTATGATGATGGTGATGCTGATGATGAGGATGCCGATGACGATGACGATGACGTCAATTATGATGATGGATGATGATGATGACGATGCTGATGTTGCTGCTGATGATGATGCTGCTGCTGCTGCTGATGATGATGATGATGATGATGCGGATGAGGATGATGGTGATGATGATGCTGATTATGATGATGCTGATGCTGCTGCTGATGATGATGCTGATGATGAGCATGATGAGCATGACGAGCACGGGACTGCGCAGGAGAGGATATGGACGAGGGAGGATGACGAGGAGGACAGACTTGTATCCACTCTGTCTTGATGCTCATACCCTCGCAGCAGGCACGCGCTGTGCGCTGTACCTGTTCTGGCGTTCGCCGATGGGAGTGAGCCAGGACCACATCTTCTTCGGGTATGCGCAATCTGTTGTGGCGGTCGGGAAAGGAGCTCCACGGAAGGGGGACCGGAGCCGATGAGGCGTGGACGCTGGCTGCAGAGCAGAGCGAAGGGGGCCAACGCTCCAGCCTCAAGGAAAAGGGGCGCATTGAGACGAAGCGCAGGATGGACGGGTGGAGATGTGCATCATGTCAGGCGATCGCAAACATGGATCAAGGGTATGTCGAGGCGTCGAGGTGTCGAGGCTGGCGTTGAGGATGGCTTCGAGGACGGAGTTGAGGCGTCGAGGATGGCGTCGAGGCGTCGAGGATGGCGTCGAGGTGTCAAGGCGTCGAGGGCGGTTTCGAGGATGACTTTCGGGGGCGCCCTTCTGGATGGCTCGGCTACGCGTAAGCCAGGCGATGGCAAACATGGATTAAGGGGGCGTGGATTAGCGACGGGTCCCGTTTCCATGGGAAATCGCGGATTTCCGCCGCCGAAGGATGCGGCACCGGCCGCATTGTGCGGAGGGCAACTTCCCGGATCCATGGACTTGACGACGTCGCGCCAGATCCATGGATCGCTAATCCACGTATGCGCGCCCTCCATCATGGGGTGACAATTTGTGGAGGCCAGAGTGTGCTCAAACGGCCTGTCACGGGCAGTGATGGCGAGAGTCCTGAGGCAGTCGGCTGGAGCACCCGAGCCGCTGAATTCGGGCGACGATGCCAGCTGCGGAGAGTGCGGAGAAGGAGGAGCAGGAGGAGGAGGAGGAGGAGGAGGAGGAGGAGGAGGAGGAGGAAGAGGAGGAGGAGGAGGAGGAGGAGGAGGAGGAGGAAGGAGGAGAGGAGGAGGAGGAGGAGAGGAGGAGGAGGAGGAGGAGGAGGGAGGAGGGAGGAGGAGGAGGAGGAGGACGAGGAGGAGGAGGAGGAGGAGGAGGAGGAGGAGGAGGAGGAGGAGGAGGAGGAGGAGGAGGAGGAGGGGGGAGAGGCGGGCAGGAGCGGCAGGAGCGAGAGGAGCCGGCTCGATTATGCCGGGTCGGTCGTGGTCGTGGTGGGTCTTCAAGGGGGTCGTGTGAGCAAGATGCCGGCCTGCGCCCCGGGCGATGAGAGGCAGGAGTCCGCGAAAGGAGTTTGTGTGAGGAAAGGAACTTCTGGGGCGGGGCAAACGCCTCCATCCTTACTCCCCCTTTTCGAACTTCTCTCTCTCTCTCTGACTCTTGCTTTCTGCCTGCTTCCTCGTCGTCTCCTCGCCTCCTCTTCTCGCTTTTCCGGACACCAGCAGAGCCAAACCCTGCGGGTACAGTCGACGCTGGGGTATCGGGCATTCCCGCTGGGGTCCACTTGGCCGCAGGCATCCTCCAAATTCTGAACCCTGGCCTGTTTCTCAGAAGCACGACCTGCAGTGGCAGGGCTCACATGTGGTTGCATGGCTTTCTCGTGTGCTCGCTGTGTGGGTGTGCTTCATGGGAGGGAGGTACGGCAGGTTCGCGCCGCATCCACGCGGTGGCGACCCTGGCGCGGGCCTTCAAGGCTGACCGCCGCCAGGGGCCTCGGGTCGGCCGATATCGGGCGATTCGCGCTCTCAGACTGCTGGAATCGTTCACTGCTGAACGCTCTACTCGGTGTCAGAATCCAGCGCCCGGGTCGTCACCTCCCCCGACTCCATTGGATCGGCGGCGAGCGAGGGGGGGAGGAAAAGGCCTCCTCAGAAGGCGGCGGGGCTTCTTAGAAGTTTTGGGGTCTTCGGGGACGGCTCAGGAAGCTTCTCAGAGGGCCCGAGGACTTCCCAGCCTTCTGAGAAGGCCCGCCCCCTCTCACTTCCCCCCAGGCTCGCCGCCGAACGCTGACCGTGACCAAGATGTCGCGGGATCTTGTCGACGCCGGACTTGGTCATGGACTATGCCAGCCGTTGCCGATTCGCGAGGACGATCCACGAGTCGACGCTCACCAAGATGGACGCCGACCAAGATCGACACGACGTTTACGCGTTGAGTATAGATAATGGTCCACGTCTTCTTCCCCTCCACCCCCTGGAGGAGAAGGAGCAGGAGACGGAGGAGGAGGAGGAGGAGGAGGAGGAGGAGGAGGAGGAGGAGGAGGAGGAGGAGGAGGAGGAGGAGGAGGAGGAGGAGGAGGAGCCCTCCCGGCCCCCCCACCCCCACTCCGCAGTGCGAGCTGCCCTCGCTGCGGCGCTGCCCCTTGGCGCCGCGCCCCCCGCCTTTGCGCGAGCTGGGCGGCGTCCCGCAGCTGCCAGTGAGGTGCCCCGATGGGGGGGGGAGGCCACAGTTGGGGCTCGGTCAGTCGGGAACCGTGCCTGGACAGCACATCGGTTGCAGATCACATGGGGAGGCCACAGGTGGGGCTCGGTGAGTCAGGAACCGTGCCTGGACGGCACATCGGTTGCAGATCACATGCGCGAGCGTATGTACAACAACTTTCATGCCAGCGTCAGATATGATTGTGTAGGTTCGCTCATGCCCGACCCCGCCAATCGAGGAACAAACATCGGTATAATCTTAAACTTTAGGAAGTCCGGGTGGACTTCTTGGATCTGCGCCAGTTTCTCCCCGCAGCGCCTCTGGCGCCGCCCCTGGCGCGCTCCGCGCTCCATGGAGGGGGGCCCAGCGCTGCCTTGGGGGATCTGGCGCAGATCCAAGACACCCACGTGGACCTCCGAATGTTGGTGTCTATGCAGCTTTGTCTGTTTCTAGCCAGCCATCCGGCTGCCTGCGGCGGGTTCCGACACCGTGAGAGCCCAGCACTCTCTGTGTGGCGACTGCTCGAGGAGCGCACGGGAGACCGTAGCGTGTGATTCCTCGTGCCGACAAATGTGACGGGGTGTTCCCAGGGGGCGGGTCGCAGCGGGGACTCAGAGGGCGCTAGATGTACGTAGCGCCCCGCAGATGCCGACGAAAGTGAGGGGGCGGCGGGGACGTCGGCAGTCCTCGAGGCTCTGAAGAAGCCCGCCGCAGGCGCTCCATTGTTACAAGTCGTACAACGAGCCCGCCGCAGGCGCCGATATTATTTTTAGACAATGTGGGTCGCGCTGGGTCGCAGGTGGGTCGAGGGTGGGTCGCGGGTGGGTCGCGGGCCGGGTCGCGGGTGGGTCGCGGTTGGGTCGCGGGTGGGTCGCGGGTGGGTCGCGTGCTGGGTCACAGTTGGGTCGCGGAGTGGGTCGCGGGGTGGGTCGCGGGGTGGGTCGCGGGCGGGTCGCGGGGTGGGTCGCGGGTGGGTCGCGGGGTGGTCCTGGGGTGGGTCGCGGGGTGGATCGCGGGTGGGTCGCGGGGTTGATCGCGGGTGGGTCGCGGGTGGGTCGCGGGTGGTTCGCGGGTGGGTCGCGGTTGGGTCGCGGGTGGCACGACGACAACAAACAAACATCAAGCAGTAAGCAACGCAACCATAATCCGGACCGCGGAACCGCACTTCAGCCACGCGCCCAGGGACAGTGATTGACCGCCCTGCCCCTTCACGCTGACTTGCACTTGCACCGATCCTGGCTACGCCGATCCTGGGTTCGGCCAGGGTCGGTGCAGCCGTACTGTTGGCGTCCTCCCATGGATGTGGGCTCGTTTCCGAGATCGTGGTTCCCGTATCCGTGGTGCACATGGGTGCTCGCCTCTCTCGTGGTGCACAGGGGTGCCAAGCGATGGTTTCTCGGCGGCGTCGCGGAGGCAACGCAGCGCACGCCCGATTGTGTTTGGTGTCTGAAGTCGGCAGGACTGCTTGGCCTTTCGAGAGGGTATGTATTGCGTTCCACGGTGATCCAGTTGCGCTACCGCGCGATTCCGCCACCACTCTTGGGCGGGCGGGGTGTAGGAGGGGGTGCCTTGGCGGGAGGCTCCACGACCCCCCCGTGCCCCAAGCTCTGTATTTGGGACCACTGTTACCGTGGAAGGCCAAACGCGCACGGGTTTGGCCACAACAGTGAGCGTATCTTGGGCTCGATTGAGGTCGGCATATCTGAACGACCGCTCCAGAGGGTATTGTGTTCTACAGTGATTCTGTCATCGCTAGCCCGATGCGGACAATCGTTAGATGGATCCGCCTGCAGCAGGAGCCTTTGGATTGTCGTGCGTGGTGAGGGCGATTCTGCCAACTCGTCCGCGTGCCCGCTTCCGGTTTTTAGACCTTATCTCATTCTCTCTCTTCCCCTCGTTTGGTCGGAGAGGGGGGGTGAGATCGCAGTGGACTGGAGAGCCCCCACATGGGGAACTCGGCTTCGGTTTCGTGTTGGTCTGTGCGTGCGGGCGAGGCGATTCTGGGTGGGCGCGCGAGAGGAATGATCCCGCCGTCGCTAGGGCGATTCGGATGCAAAAGTCTGGCCCTCGGGGTGGGCGCGCGATTGCTGGGAGCGTCCCGCCATAGTGTCTCGCGATGTCCCAATGGTGTCCCGCGGTGTCTCGCCGTGGGCGCGCGAGAGGAATGATCCCGGCGTTGCTATGGCGATTCGGATGCAAAAGTCCGGCCCTCCGCTGGGCGCGATCGTGAGATCGACAGAGATATCGACAACGACCGAGATGTGGTGAGATCTGTAGTCAGGTCATTAGTCGGATCGATAGTGGGGTCGATCGTGAGAGCGGTAGTTGCATCGAACGGGCAACAGTGATATCGATATTGAGGTCGATGGTTGCGTCGATAGTGCAATCGATAGTGATGTCGATAGTGCGATCGATTGCGAGGTTGACGATTAGATCGATAGTGGGATCGATTGTGAGCTCGGTTGTGAGATCGATATGGATCGCTTGACAGATCGAATGTGGAAACGATCGTGAGATCGGTCGAGTGAGGTCGATCGTAATATCGATCGTAATATCGAGATTGAGATGGATTGTGAGATCGACTGTGGGATCGAAAGCGATGTCCGTTGAGTGAGATCGGATGGTAGGATGACAGTGGGATCGGACGTGAGATCGGATGTGAGGATGTGAGATCGACCGTGGGGTCGGTTCAGTGGGCTCTCCTGGTTCCAGCCCAAGCGACCCTTCGTCCCACTGCAGCCGCCGCGGCCAGTGCCATCACTGCCGCGGGCACTGCGATCATTGTTACTGCAGTTGTGTGGGGAGGAGGGAGGAGGGAGGAGGGAGGAGGGAGGAGGGATGGGGGGAGGGGGGAGGGAGGAGGGAGGAGGGAGGGGGGAGGGAGGAGGGAGGAGGGAGGAGGGAGGGAGGGAGGAGGGAGGAGGGAGGAGGGAGGAGGGCGACGACTGCTTCCTGGCGCCACGCCTGTGGGCGGCGCGCGCCTCCTCGCCGTCGCGCCCCTCGCCGCCGGGCTCTGCCGGGGGCCCGCGGCCGGGCTCCGCCGGCGGTGCCGTGAGGCGGGTCCAGCGGGCAGAGTGCGCGGGGCAGCGCAGGCTGGCGCAGCGTACCTCGCAGAGCTCTTCGGCATCGGTGAGCTAGAGGTATTCCGGCGCGGGGTGCAGCTAGTACCTCGTAGAGCTCTTCGGCAAGATGAGCTGAGAGGAACACCTCGTAGAGCTCTTCGGCATCGGTGAGCTAGAGGTATTCCGGCTCGGGGTGGAGCTAGTGTCGAGTGCGCTCATGGCTCCGGGGGCGGGCGTCGTGGAATTGCAACACGTCGCATCATGTTTGGGTAGCAGTCGTTCGACGCTTTGCGGCAGGGTGCCGAAGGTGACGCGCGTGCCGTGGCATCGTTCCGGAGCCTCCCTCGATGATGTGGGCAACCGCTGGATGGATCAGACTGTGCTGGTGCATGTGGATGGGCGCTCTGGCAAGCTGCTGGAGTTCGAGCTCGCCCGCAGCCCGCGCGCGCAGCCCTTGCCGAAGTGGGCCTGGGCAGCCGCCGTTCTGCATGGGCGCAGCGCATGTCGGCTCTGCGTCGTTCGTGGCAGGAAGTTCCTTCCAGAGCACGCTTGCGCTTGCTGCGCCACTGTGCTGGCGAAGGTAGGGGCCGAAGTGCCGGAAGGCGTGCTGCCTGCGTGTCCGCGCGAGGCCCCCGAGGGCCATTCGGAGGACAGCTCTCCAAAGAGGCTCCGGGGCGCCGCAGAAGCGACCGCGTCGATCTCGATGCAGGAGCCAGGCTCTGCCAGCTCTGCCAAGGCTGTCCCGCTGCCGGTCCCGAACGCGCCTCCTCTGGCTCAGGCCCCCCTCCTGCCGCGAATTGCCCGGGCCTCGCTTCCTGTGGCGACGCTGTCGTTTCCGATTCTGGCCCGAGCCCCACTTCCCGCGGCGGAGCCAGCGGCGGCGCCGCCGGGGCGGGCGCCAGGGCCAGGCTCTGCCAGCGCGCCGCTGCCGCGAGACGCCCTTCGGGTGACGAACGGCCTTGCGGCGGAGACGCCGCTGCCCGAGCTTCTGACGAGGCGACGGGCAGTCTTTGGGCTGGTCTGAGAGCCAGCAAAGGCTTCGGGGCCAGGCTCTGCCAGCCCACTGATGCCACAGGCGCTGGTGCCCGCGGCGCCCGCGGCGGCGTCCGAGCAGCCGATGGATGTCCAGACTCTGGCGCCGCTTCCGTCGCCAGCTCAGCCGGGTCTTCGGCCGAGCTCGGCTAGCCTAGTCCAGGTGGAGAAGCTGCTGGAGGAAAACTTTATCCTGGACTGGGATGGTCAAGAGGACGTTCGCGTTTGCGCCGCTGCCGCAGAAGTGCTTGCAGAGTTGCGCGCGGGCTGCGCCGAGTGCCCTGAGGCGCAGCGCGAGCGGTCGGCGGGGATGGCCTCGGCTGGGCTTTCCTGTCCGACGCGCCGGGCGTCGACGTCCTCGCCTTCGCGCAGATCCCACGGGACCCCGCCCTGGCGGAGAGCCCAGCTGCGGAGGAGGATCGCGCCGTGCAGGTGCGGGGTGTCTCGCGTGTCCGCTACCGCGCCGACGACGGCTCCGCCGACGTCAGCGCGCAACCGAAGCTCGCGTGCTTGCGAGCCCGTGTGCTCAGCCAACACAGAGAACGAGAAAAAAGGGGGTGATGCCTGGCGCGGACCTCGCGTTCACTGGCCGCGCCGGAGTTTTGCGTCGGGAGGGGGGGTCCGTGCCTGGCGCCGTCGGCGCGACGCCTTCTCCAGTCTCGCATCTGTAACATATATACATACATGCATGCCCCAATATGTATTTGCGGGGTCGAACAGGCGGGCGCTATGTCCCTGGAGTTTACCCCGCTGCAGTCGGCCCCCCTGAGCTGTGCCTGCGACGAGCGGCCCGATCTGCGGCAGCTCTGCCGGGAGCTGCGGGCGAAGTTGCCGGACATTGTGCGCCGGAAGTTTTTCGGGGAGAATTTGGCCGCGGAGGAGCTGCGCAGCGGTGCGCTGGCCCGT